TGGTCTTAAGTATCAGGAGAAAGGTTGAGGACACAGTGGGCACTCAACAGAAGCTTTGTCCTCAGGACCCCTGTCTTACACACATTCACGATGGACAAAATAAGACATCATAAAACGTCTTTAAACTGCATATTCTTTATTAAGATAAAATGGGTATCTTCAAATTCTTTCATTCTTAGATGGCTCAGTCACTTTTCAACTTTATTGAGAGCTCACTGCGTGCACAGCGTGCTGACCTCTTGCAGAGGGGTCAGGACCCCCCCACACACAGCTGCTGGAGCCACCAGGACACTCCGTTCTGTCCTCGGCCCCCAGGATGTGGTCAGCAATTTTTAAATTTTTATTCTCCGGGAAGAGTGACGTTTGCAGGAGTTGTAAGGCTCTCTGCTGGCCTTCGTGGCTGGCCTGTGTGGTGGTGTTCGCGGTGCACTCTGCCACCGTACGTGGCCGCGACCGGGCGGCTTACTGTGATTGTAACCCTGAGCTACAGAGAAACAACTGGAGACGTCAGGGTCTGTAGCACCAGGGGAAATACCGATCTTACGGTAATAAGTTCTGTGCCATTTTCTGATCTACAGCCTATACCCCTGGAAATACACATTTTAAGAATTCCAAAATTGGATAATACATATCAAATAATTGAAATCTTCAAATGTGTGGGTTTTTTCTTTAGCAGGTTTTCCTGCCTCATTTATGTAGAACTTTAGACCAATGGGTGCATCCACGGGAGCAGATTTAACAGATGAGAAATGAAAAAGCCCCCAATTTTCCAAGCGATTTTAAATTCAAGAACTGGGCTGGTAACTTAGCGTCTTAATAGTTTATTCCAGGTTTATATCCTTTATCAAGTGTTTTCTATGAAGGAATGAATGTTTGACTCATCGACATGTCTGCTGCAATTAGCAGTACCTCTGGTTTCCTAAGATAAATTCTATAACCTTCATGAAGTTAACCTAAGATTAAATTCACCTTTTGGAATCTTAAACAAGCATGGCAAGATAGATGAGTGTTTGTGGATTAACAAAAATGAGATTAATTTTAAAAGTGTAATCATCAAGATTTTGGTAACAAAATTAATGACCTTGGAATATAAACTTGCACTGGGGGAGATATAGATTGGTCAATTAAAAAAATATATATATATAGGATTGAGTTCACAGTCTACTTTAGCTTTTCCAAATAGCTGCTCATTCTCCTCTCAGCTCAAAATTCTTTCCTTTTTTTTTTTTTTTTTTTTTTTTTCTCAACTTGGCAGAGGCGTTGGAAGCTCCCATACCTGGAAGAGAAGGGTCAGGTCACACCAGATTCACCCGAGATGAATTTAGCACAAGAATGTGGATGAACAAATGTGAAATGGAGAGTAGGTTCTGCAGCATGTGGGTTGGTGGCAGAGGTGTTCCCAGCAGGAAGAAGAGCATGGAGGTGAAGACACGTCTGTGAGACCCGGGGATGCTGCGAAAGCAGTGGGTGGGGGTCTCCGTTAGAGGTCAGGGTCTGCACGGGAGACCCAGCCTGCCTCAGGCCTGTGCTTCACCAGGAAGAACTGCCAGGCTGCGACATGCCTCAGGGGCCCTGTGTCACCAGCACATGTGGCCGCTGGGTAGGGGGAGGGACCCCTGGCGGTCACACAGCTGCTGGAGCCACCAGGACTCTCTGTTCTGTCCTCAGCCCTCAGGCCCCTGGACATCACCAGAAACAAGCTAGTTTGCAACCAGAGCCACTGAGAAATTGAAAACAAATCAGTGATTTTAGGTCCCTCTCCTGTGGGTGAGAAACTCAAGGGTTGTGGGCAGAGACCCATGTGCCCCTAGCTCTGTGCTCTTGGGATTTCCCTCTCTCCTAGGAGCTCTTTCTCCTCAAGCAAAGAGCAGAACAGGTAAGCAAGGAAAAGGGTCTTTTTATTTGAAACAGCAACTGCCACTACAAACCAGCCCACCCGCTGGATCCCGTTTCCGCTAATAATGGTGCTGGCTTCCTGAGCCAGGAGCCTGGGTGTGCGTGGTGGACGTCGGCATGACCCCAGCCCCGCCCGCCCGCCTGCCAGCCGTGGCAGAACTAGAGGTGAAGCAGTAGCAGGCGTGTTGCAGGTGAGAGGTTCTACGGCTGCTGTGCTGGGGCCCGTGCAGCCGCACCGGTCACTCAGCCAACACCAGGCTTTCCCAGAGGAGCCGTGGCCTCGGGACTACCCGTCGTGCAGCCCACAGCTTGAGGAGGGTGGAGGGGGTCAAGCCTGAGGCTTTTGGGATTTGAAAAGAAACCCCGGTGCATCTGAAGACCTGGAGCAGCAGAGGGGGGACCCTGTCCTTCAGTAGAAATAGCACGTTCCTGACAGAAGCAACCCGGAAACTTCTCTCATTCTGCCCCGGACCTACTGTCAGGGAAGTAGATGGGCCCCACAGAACTGGTCCAGAGTTTCACAGCTACCGGGGGCAAGCAGGACCAGGGCCATGGCATCCAGTGTACTTTCATGATTCTGCACAGGCAGACTCTTAACTCAGTCACATCATCCTAGAGGGGATACATTCTGCAGATAGAAAAACAATGGCAACTAAGTCATGGGCTCAATTTCCCAAGAGACCAGGACCAAATGGAGCAGCTTCCCTGCATGGAATGTGGCAGAAAATCGAGCCACACTCTGTTATCCTCAGACCAGATATGTCAGAACTCAGAAGTTTTCAGGTTGTCGTTACGTAAAGTTATGTAATGTAAAGTTAGTACATTAATATCTCTCCTACGGGACTAATATCCAAAATACATATAAAGAACTCCTGCAACTCAGTAGCAAAATAAAATCTGATTACAACATGGGGAGAAGGTCAGAATAGACGTTTCTCCGAAGAACACATAGATGGCTAACGTGTACATGAAGGTGCTCTGCATCCCTCACCACCAGGGAGATGCACATCAGAACCACAGAGGGAGAGCTCCTCACGCCTGTTAGGATGGCCATCATCAAGAAGACGAGATAAGAGCTGGTGAGGATGTGGAGCAAGGGGAACCGTCGTGCACCATTGGTGAGAGTGCAGACCAGTGCAGCCACTCAGACAGTACAGAGTTTCCTCAAAAGTTAAAAAAAGAGAACTACCCTACGACCTAGTCATCACACTTGTGGGTATTTACCCAAAGGATACAAAACCACTAACTGAAAAGACGTCTGCAGCCCCGTGTTCACTGCATTATTCACCATGGCCAAGACACGGAAGCAGCTAAGTGCCCCTCGATGGACGAGTGGACGCGGAAGGTGTGTGTGGGGGGGGTGTGCACATACACACAGAACACACACTGTGGAACATCAGCCATAGAAAGGAATGAAGTCTGGCCATTTGTGACAACACAGAGGGACCGGTAGGGCACTGTGCTGAGGAAAATGTCAGCCAGAGGAAGGCAAATACCGTATGATCTCACTTATATGGCGGATCTTTGAAAAAACAACCAAGGTCATAGAAACAAGAGATTGGTGGGAGAAATGGGTGAAGGGAGTCAAGAGATAAAAATAATAAATAAATAAATATGGTGCATTACTGAGCATCGACCAAAAACAAAGCAGGTGTTTTTTTTTCTGGGTGCACAACCCTAAAAGCAGGATGGTGTTACCAAATTACCAATTCCAACCCAAGCTATTCCCTCTGTAACTGTAACACTGCAAGGAAACTTTGGTTGAAGTATAAACCACATTTTAAGGAATGTGCGTGTTTATAGTTCCTTCAGCAAACAACTTCTGTGGGTCTGTTTTCTGCATGTGCATGCGCACACACACAGTAACATGCCGTGTGTACTGCACGCTATGGGACAGTGGGCCTAGGGCAGGGCCCCATAATCACACTCCTCTTTCCTCAGAAAAGTGCCCTCCTACCACTTCAGATCAGGGTTTGCTACCAAACGAATTTGCTGCCAACCTGAAAAACAAATCTTCCTGCTTTTCGAGTTTTGTGGATTTCAGAGTTGGAGTTAGGGGCTGCAGGCCTGGGATATGTCGTGATGGTGTGGGAGGCAGGGGGCTTCTGTTCCCACAGTCTTAAAGCAGATGTTTACGGGCCACGGTGTGGAAGGATCCAGGTGCGTCCTACTTCTGGCTAAGCAGGTGGGTCTCCGGCTCCCCACGGCAGCGGCCCCACGCTCCGCCCCTGCGTCAGATGAGGCTCGGTCTTCCAGGCCTGTCTTTCCCCTGGGCAGTCCCTTCCAGCGTCAGCGTTAACCGCCTTTTCCTTTCTTCAGTTTATTTGTATTGTTGAGTTTGGTGCCCACGTTGGGGAGTTGGCCTGTACGGCAAAGGCCAGCTGATGTCAGCGGGGAGAGCGGCAGGGGTACTGGGTGCGTTCGGTGGGCAAGGAGAGCTGTGAGCTACTTTACTCTGATTAAGACCAGCCACACCACTGGCTTTCTCCTTCTAAGCATCTTCACGCCACCTGTGTGTGTGACACCGTGCACCTCCTCCATGCGACCCTGCAGCCGCCAAGCCCACCCCCACCCACCCTTCCGACGCGGGTGCTCTTTTGTGTTGCTTCCTTCATTTTCATACTGTTGTGACTTTTCCATCAGATCTCTCTTTTTATAAACAAAAATAAAGTAAGAGAGGGAACCAAGGATTTTAACGAGACGAAGTATAAATACTGGCTTTTGACTGTCATCACTTTGTTCCGGGGACCCAGTGTGGAGGAGGCTGAGGGCGTGGACCTGGAGGACTGAGCGGTGCACACACCTCGGGCAGAAGGGCTGACACAGCTTTCCTTCACACCAGGCCCCTGTTGCTTTGAACAACGTGGCCTTTCTGAACAACAGAAAACTTGGCCAGAACACGCCTTGTGCTGTCCTTTGTTCTTGCCGCAGTGACCTCCTGGGGAAGACAGTGACAGAGTGCCATGCATCCAATTGAAGAATTGAAGTGTCAGTCACCTGTCTCCCGGGAGCGGGGAGTGGACCATGCCTGTGGGGCGTGCACCCTCAGCCACCTTCCAGGTGAGCCTGCGGTGAGCATTGATGGCGGCCCCAGGACCGGCTCTCTATGCCACCACCTGCTGGACCGCCACTTGGTCTGGGGAGCAGCTCTGGTGCCCACAGTGCATTTTCTTGATCAGCCGCCGGAGTTTGCTGGGGAAGTTTCTGTTGATGTAGCGGTAAAGAAGTGGCATCACGGAGCTGCTGGAGAAGGCCAGGAATCTCGACAAGTCCTTAGCAAAGAGCAGAATCCCCAGGTGGTGCCCATCCATGGGCTTCCCCCGCAAGGCGAGCAACGTGTGCCCCAGGAGGGTCAGGTAGTGAGGCGTCCAGAGCCCAAACTGCGTGCACACGGTGGCCACCAGAAGCCTGTGCACTGAGGGGTCCAGCCTCCCCGCATCCTGGTCAAGGGGCGTGTCTTCCTTCCGGATCCTTGAGATGAGCGCAAGCGCATAGAGCACGGCCAGGGTGGGGACCAGATACCCAATGAACACCATGATGGCGTCAGCAGCCTCTGTGTCCTGCATCTTGGAGCACTCGACGATCCTGGCCGCCACGTGGCTGCAGATGTAGAACAGCAGGGAGGAGAAGCTGGTGAGCAGGGCCCCGCCCCAGACAAAGCCGCACACGTGCCTGGTGTTATAGACGCTGGACATGTAGGTGCGTGGCAGAGCCTGCTCGATGTAGTAGTCGAGGCTGAGCAGGGCTGTGGAGTACATGGTCACCAGGGAGGAGACGTTGAACAGCACCAGCAGTGTGATGTGGGCCTCGCTGCTGAAGCCCCACAGGGCCCACCCGGAGGCGCTGGGGCCCAGCAGGTGCACGGGTGCCAGGACGCTGAGCACCAGGCCTGCCACGGCCATGTTCACGAAGTAGACGTCGGGCATGGTCATGCTGCTCTGGTCGTACAGGTTGACCAGGACGAGCAGGGCGTTGTAGCCCAGGCCGACGGGGACGCCGATGACCAAGTAGAGCAGAGAGAACACGGACAGGACCACGTAGAAGTGCTGGCAGAGGAGTTGGTCCTCCACGCTGCCCGTGCCGTTGAGCGGGCCACAGCTCCACATGGCGGCGGCGGCGGCAGTGGCGGGGCTGTGTGGGAGGAAGCAGCGCAACGTTAGACCCAGGCCTGCGGACCCCTCCGAAATGCAGACAGAGGTGGCGCAGGGAGAAAGCCTCGCTCCTTAAACTAGCACAGGACAGTCAGAGACGAAAATTCTGTCCTGAGCACGTGTGTTTCCTGTGAAAGCGAAGGTGCCGTCCCATGGCTGTCCTAAGTCCTGAGCTGGGCCAGCGAGGTCACGATGCTGCAATAATCTTACCGGCCATGGTGAGTCTCCCTAAGCCTGTTTCTGAGAGAAATCTGAGCAGTGGATGATTCGCCCAAGATGCTGCTGGGAAGTCGCTCCCAGCCTGCTTCGTGGCTCCTCCTGGGTCCCGGCTTCTCTGCGCGGGGAGGGGCCACGCTGTAGGACCTCCCCCACCCCCACCGTGCCCTCACCGCTCAGCCTGGGCTACGTGGCTTTGAGTCCACGTAACCCCCTCCTGTTCAGCCTCTTCACTGAAAGTGGGTTGGAAAGACAGGTGCCTATGGGGCCAATGGCCCGTCAGCCAGGGCGGCACCTGCACAGCGCTCGGGGCTGGGATGCGTTCTGACGAGGCCTTCCTGTGACCGGGTGACCCTCCACAGCCACCTGGGTGAGAAGAGCAGCCTCTGCCGCGCAGGCAGGCCAGAGCCTTGCCCGGACCCTTCTCAGCACGCATGGGGATTGTGTACCCGCCTTCCACACCTACGTCTGTGGTCTGGTGGCCAGAGACCCGTCCTGTCTCTCATGCCCCCCAGGCTGCACCAGCGGGCGGCACCGCCAACCCCGTGAGCAGGCGCGGGTGCACACGTGGGCAGCTGCACAAGCTGGTGTGTGTGACCGAGGTGCGCCGTGAGCTGAGCTGGGAGAGCAGGAGGCGCTAAGCCGGGCGGGGGAGACTGGGAGTGGGGCTGGCTGCCACGGGCTGAGTGAGACGCTCGTGCCTTCATCCCCACAGGGCCATCGCGGGGTCCCAGTGAGGCCACGTCCACGGGAACTGTCGTGGATCCTGGGGTTCCCTGGGGGGACATGCTCCCTGTGGGGGTGGTGGGGAGGAGCTCCGCCCTGCCAAGGCGCCCGTGCCCAGAGAGACGGACGGGGTGGGCCATCGGTCCCAGCACCCTCACCCAGCCTCGGAGGCAGTGCCCAGGCGGAGTGCAACCCAGTGGCCTGTGTTCTAGCACTTGGGAGGCCTGGCTACACAGATGGCCGAGAGAACCCACAATGTGAGGAAAGAACACTCTTCACCAGTGTCAGTTCTCTGGAGGAAAACCTTACTTTCCAAACCGTAGTTTGGTCCAACCTGATCTCCTGCTCTCAAAACAAGAAATCCTCTTGGGCAAGCACATACAAAGCAGACATTTGTTTCCCAAGCTTAGGGACAGGGATCAGCCAGCCCTGCTGCCCATGGAGGGGCTCGGGGGCCAGGCCCTGCCCACACCAGCTGCAGGCCGGAGCCTGGCGTGGGGGTGAGGGGTGACATGGAGAAAGGACTCTGTGACCAGAGACCTTTACCCACTGTTCTGCCTCGCCCTGCCCCACCCGGGCCAGTGGGGCGATGGGGGGTTAACAGTGAAGGAAATGGGAGGCCAGGGGCCCCCACAACACGAGTGTGTCTGCACCGGAGTCCCCCAGCATCAGACCACGGCGGGCAGGAGACCGTGCAGACGTCGGGGACGTCAGTCAGTGGGAACGTTTTGAGGTCCTCACGAATGCCACCCAGCAGCCTGCGATGGGTGATGTGTGTCAGACGGTAGCAATACTCAGGGTCGGGCTGGGCGCAGGGCTGGGCGCAGGGCTGGCCGGGCTCCGCCCACACGTGCTGGTTACGTCACTTTTAGAAGTGTTTACTGTTACCCACTGCATGGGCCAGGTCCTAAGGTCTAGACAGTGCTCCTCAGCCTCTGGCCCTGGTGGATGCTCTGCACCCCCGGGGCCAGATGTGGGGGGAGAAGGTGGGAGCCCCAGGGCAGGTGGCGCGCTCCTAGAACACCCGTGCGTCCCACAGCTGAGGCACTGGGGCCCGCAGGGGCTGGGGAGGGGGCCCTTTCATGTCATCTTTAGCTGATTACATGGCCGGTTTCCGCTCTCCTTCTCCTTCCTGAATGCCTCCAGAGCTGGCTGTGGATCTTTCAGTGTGGCCTCCTCTCTGTCCTGAGGCTCCGCCGTGCTGAACCGTGGCTCTGACAGTAACCGGGGGGGGGGGGGGGGGGGGGGGGGGGGGGGGGGGGGGGGGGGGGGGGGCAGTGAGCAGAGAAGGCTGCAGGGAGCTTGTCTGCCAGACTTCACTGGCCTCGAGTCCCCAGGAATCTACATTCTTGTGGCCACTGTGGACATCTTCCATCCCAGAGCATCCGTCCGTGCCGTGACCAGCTGGGCTCACGTCCTGTCCAAGGACCCGTGGGGTCTGCCTGAGGTGTCCCCCCTACTCTCGTGTCCAAGCCTCTTTCCTCATGAGAGGACAGAGACGTGCCCCAGAAAGAAAGGCCCCGCGCCATCATTACGACAGGCCCTGGCTCAGGTGGGGCGCTTGCCAGCAGGAAAGGCTGGGACCCGAGGATCCGCACTCCTGGTCCGACGGAGCCCGTCCTCCTCAGACCTGCCCTGTCGCTTCCCTCCTGCCTCAGGTTTGTGCGGGGCCCTCAGCGCTCCCTGCCGCTGCCTGTCCCTAGCGGCGCCCCAGAGTGGCCCGCAGCCGTGCCCGCGCCTCAGGCTGCTTACCTTTATCCCGACCCCACACGTCTCTGGGCCTGGACCGCAGACCGGTGCGTGAGCGACTTGGCAGCACAGACACCAGAGAGGATCCTGTGTTTCTCTGCAAACAAACCGCCCCCCCCCGCTCCCCCCCCCGGCCCCCACCCGCTTATCGGCCGCAGCCTCCCGGCGCTGGCTTCCTGTGCGGCACTCGTGCACACTTCGCGCCCGGTCGGCGAGCACACTGCTTGTTTCCTCCAGCGAGTCGCCCCGCGTCTGCCTCCCTTGGCAGACACAGCGGCCCCTCCCTATCTCTGTTTACACCAGTTCCACAGAACGGGGCTTGTGCCTTGGATGTGCCGGCACCTCGGGTCGGGCTCCTGCCCAGTTGCGCCGGGTTCCTTCCCCTCTGCACCCCGGCCTGCGCTGAGCTGAGCAATGGGGCAGGTGTGACAAGGCTTGCCCAGAGCCCCCGTGGCCGTTCCTAACACCGGGGCGTGGGGCCGTGATGAGTCCCTTTTTTGTCTCGAGCCAGGAAACTGAGAGGCAGCTTAGAACTCTAGGCCGCACGAGTCTCCACGGAGAGGGGCACCGAGGGCTCTTGAAAGGGGCGGCCATGGCTGAGGACACGCTCAGGACTGGCAGGAAGAAGGCGGGTGTCTCCCCCGTGTCGCTGGGGCGCACAGAGCTGCCGGCCGTATCCCCCCAGTCAGGGACTTGGGGAGCCACTGCCCTGACTGCCCGCGGCTGCCCCGTGGGGCCGCGGGGAAGGGCAGCTGGTGAGCGGCGCGCCGGGCTGAGAGTGGCTCCGTTCTTGGGAAATGGTCACGTGGAGCACAGTCTGTTTAGAATTTCCTTCCCAGTTCTCGTGGTTGTGTGGCCCTGGCTCGCGCGCTGGAGAGGGGCCGTACGTGTGGAGAGCGGCGGGGGCCGCCAGTGCTGGCTCTTCAGTAGAAATAGGCCTGAGTTTCTGTTTGCTGACAGCTAGTAAATACAGAATTTATCCACTTTATTTCAAAAGCGGGAGCTCGCGTCTGTGCATAGCTCTTGTGCGCATCGAGTCCGAGGATGCCAACTGTTGGCTTTCTGTCAGCCTGACGATGACAAGCTTGGCTCTTTTGTCCCAGCATTCTTCTGGGGAAGCCAGCGACGAGGAGCCACTTTGTTTTATAAACACGGGCATGTGGTATTTGCCAAAGCAGGAGCGTTCATTCCTGTCTGGGAGGAGGGGGCTGAGAGGCAGGGGAGGGAAGGGAACACCTTGGTGGGGAGGCAGGGGCCAGGTGCAGGGGTGATGCCACCATCACTGAGGCCACTGGATGGCCACGTGCCCGCCTCAAGATGGGCTCACCCACGCCCTGTGCAAACCCAACAGGGGTCCCTGTGAGCACTGGTGGTGGAGCCCGCTGAGCCCGGGGCTGTGGGCACGTGGCACAGTGGGCGAGAAGCAGGTGGAGGTACTCAGGAGGCCCAGGGACAGAGACTGCACCCCCAGAACGGCCGCGTGTCAGCGGGTCTGGTGAGTGAGCGAACGGTGGTCCTGTCTAACCTTAGTCACAGGCGCTTGGTGAAGCACGCGCGGGTCTCGCAGCTGCTGGCTCTCATCACGGCTGACGTTCCAAAGGACACAAGCGGGGGGGGGGGGCATCATCCTGTCCAGGCTGGGGCCGCTGCCTGTCATTCTGCACCTGGGAGCCAGGCGGATGCCCCCGAGCCCCCAAGCCTGCCCTCCAGAGGACCTCTGGTGGGGGCTGGTCCCGGCCTGCCTTTCTCTGGTTCCTATTTCCTCATGGTGATCCACTTCCCTTTTGCACACTCTGGTTTTGCAAGTCCAGGAACCTGGGAACAGAAACTTCCCTTCAGTCCTTCTGGGGAGGAAATGGACCTGGGAACAATGGTTTGGCTCCCGCCCTCCTACCCAGGCCTCAGACCACCTTTCCAGCTCCTGAGAAAGAGGAACTTGGAGCGCAGCCGGGGGGAGGCGGACCATTCCAGGAAGGCTGTCTCTGCAGGGGTGTGCTGGGCTCAGTGCACTCCGTGGTGCCCGGCGCACCCCGCTCCACCCCTTCTCATTTGGAAATCTGCCACATTCTTCCCAGACGACAGGATGGATAAAATCTAACTTCCAGGGCCCTGTCACCTGCCTTGTCCCCTCAGCGGACGGGGTCAGGGTCAGTGAGGACCCCGGTGGGCTTCTCGTCCAAGCTGGCCTTACAAAAGCAGGCCAGGCCTGTCTCCACACCTCCTCCCTAGGACCCCCCGGGCCCCTCCTCGCCGGAGCTCCCTGCTGCCTCCCTGGCTCCTGGG